GGACTGGATGGAATTCCTACTGAATTCTATAAAGTTTGTCAACAATCGATAGACCAAATACTGTTACAAGTTTTTAACGAAGCACTACTGATAGCAGAAATTCCAAAATCTTGGACAGAAACTATTATTACATTAATACACAAAGAAGACTCAGATCCGATGCAAATTAAAAATTACAGACCAATTTCATTACTCAACGTGGACTATAAACTATTCATGTTAACACTAGCTCAGAGACTCAAAGCAATAATACATAACTATATACATCCAGACCAAAACGGTTTCATACCTAAAAGTCAAATAAAGAATAATTTGAGAATGATTATAAATATTCTGGAATATTATGATCAGAAGATAGACAGAGAAATGGCCATAATCTCCCTTGATGCCCAGAAGGCCTTCGACAATTTGAATTGGTCTTTTTTCATAAAACAACTTGAACTAATGAACTGTGGAGAGAAATTTCATAACCTGATTAAAAAAAATTATTCCCAACAAACAGCAAAAATCTCAATAAACGGTGACATGATACAAATTTTTGATATTCAGAAAGGAGTACGACAAGGATGTCCCATGTCACCGCTAATATTTATAATAGCATTGGAGGTATTATTAAACAAAATAAGGAACGAGGAAGAAATCAAAGGACTCAAGATCCGGGGAGAGGAGTACAAATTGCTCGCCTTTGCAGACGACGTAATTTTCAACTTGGAAAACCCAAGACGATCTGGACCCAGACTGATGTCGATGATAGAACAATACGGGGAAGTCGCGGGCCTCAAAATAAACAAAAAACAAAAATAATGACGAAAAATATGACCCAGACTCAGAGATCGGAATTAGAAGAAGAATTAGGAATCCAATTAGTAAAGAAGATAAAATATTTAGGTATTTGGCTGACGGCGAAAGCAATCACGAAGAAGACAATTACACGAAATTACTAAAAGAAATTAAAAAAGACCTGGAAATCTGGAACAGGCTACAATTGTCATTGATGGGCAGAATCAGTTCAATTAAAATGAATATATTCCCGAGGGTACTATATCTATACCAGGTAATACCATTACATCCAGGAAGGGACTTCTTCAAAAATCTCAACAAAATTACAATTACCTATATATGGCAGGGAAAGAAGGCTAGAATTAAGATTAAAGCGCTACAAGACACACGAGACAGAGGAGGCCTCGCAGTACCAGACTGGGAGCTATATTATAAAGCAGCCGGATTGATCTGGATCAAAGAATGGATGAGATTAGATGACAAAAGAACTTTATATCTAGAAGGCTTTGATCTGATACGAGGATGGCACGCGTTCCTATGGGATGGACCAGACAAACAACACATGTACTTCCAAGGACACATAATTCGGGCCTCACTCTTCAAGATTTGGCAGGGAATTAAGAAAACTTATTATACTAAAATACCAAAATGGTGGTCCCCGATGGAGGCATTGATATTTCCAAATACTCTTGAAATCGGAAAGATTATGAGATACCAAGATTTACTGAATCATGAAGGAGAACTTACTCCAAGACATCAACTCCAAAATGGCGATATAAATATTGATTGGTGGCACTACACTCAAATATACTCAAGATACAAGGCGGATAAAATCAAATATGGAATTGCAAAAGATCTGAACGAACTGGACAGAATTTTATTAGGAGCAGACCAGAAAATGATTACTAAAACATATAACTACCTTTTGAGAGACAAATTAATAGAAGAAACAGTTAAACATAATATGACAATGTGGGCCAGGGACATAGGACATAATATTCAATTGGCAGACTGGGAGAAATTATGGAAGCAGAACATTAAAATGACAAGAGCCACATCTTACAAGGAGAACCTCATTAAAATGTTTTATAGATGGCACTTACCACCAGCCCGACTTGCCAAAATACACCCAAACACTTCGGCGTTGTGTTGGAAATGTAAATCAAAAAAGGGGACATATTATCACACTTGGTGGAAATGTAGGAAAGCCCAACACTATTGGCAAGATATAAAAAATATTATTGAAGAAATAACGAACATTCAAATAGAAAATAGTCCAGAATTCTTTCTATTTGGCATGATAACGGCACAACATCTTAAGGAAACGAAATATCTTATCATACATATCTTGACAGCAGCAAGACTACTGTTCGCGCAAAACTGGAAATCAGACCAACTCCCATCCAAAGACAAAATCGTTGCAAAGATAACAGAGTGTGCTGAAATGGACAGATTGACGCTGGAACTCCAGGAAAAGGAAGAAAGCGAATACTATCTTGTATGGCACCAATGGTATCAATGGCTGGAAAGGAAAATCAGCAAAAATGTAGAGGACAGAAATTAGGGTAAAGACTTGCATAAGGAGATGAACCCATAAGAAATATAAATTTGTAGTGAAAAGTTATAACATTGGAATTAGACATTTAATAATTACTCTTTATTGAACTATATAAGCTCAATGACATATATTCTGTTGATGACAAAAACGTATATGTAAAATGTTAGGTGGGTTTGTAGGTGGTGGGTTTTTTGTTTGTCTTTGTATTGTATTGTATTGTATTGTCTTTATATCTGTGTTTATATTTTAATAATAAATTTTTTTTAAAAAAAAATAGAATTGATCTGCAGCTATTTCTCAGGGTATTGTGGCAGGGAGATATTTTCCTACCTTGCAATGTGAGATTGATGATTATGTCTTCTGAATACAGAACATATACAAAATAATATTCTATTATTGTTCTTGGAATCAGTTAGGAGTAGAGCGTAATGAATACAAGTCTGGCTGAGTTACTTACAGAAATCTGGATAAAGACATATTGGAAAGCAAATGATCTCCATTTGTGGCAACTGCATGAATGGATATTTTTCTTTTGCTTCCAAGTAACTGCTTTTAGGTCTTTTCCTGCTGGGAGTATTTGCAGGCAGAAGCTCAAAGGAGACTGCAACTGTTGCATACTTATGAAAGGAAATCCAGTGTAATCTCTTGAAATGCAAAGGATCAATTCAAAAAGGCTCCTCCGGTGATTTTATTTATCATTCCCTTCTCTGGTTTCCCCTACTTCACTGGAAAACTAATTGAAAGTTGTTCTTGCCTTCCCCTGTTAAAGTGGAGAAAGAAGCTATGAGCTACCACTAACCCTCTTTTGTGACAGAGCTCAATTAGTATTGAAAGATACTAGCATTTCATGTCTGTTTGTGGTAGCTCAAGAAGCTATTTTCAGCTAGTATCAGGAAAACAAATGGCCCAGTGATAAAGAACAAGTGTTTTGATGCATTGCTAGATCCATGGCCAGCACCTGCTGTCTGTGCATGTGTTTAATACTCTTTCTGAAATGATTATTGACATTCATTTTGAATCCTTGTGAATGTTTAATTGATTGGGAACCTGAAAATTATTCTCTTCCCAACACAATAACATCAAAATGTTCATCTTTCAATTGAAATATATAGACTTTATTCTGAGTCTAGTTGATTTCAACTAACAGATTATAAATGATAATCATAATGAAATTAAAAGTAAACTGGGCTCTCAGCCATGCAACTAAATAAGTTTATTGCAACTAAGTAAGTTTATTAATAACACAGTGTAACATATAAACAGATTTTTTTAAAAAAAATTCAGGGTATAAACAGTGGAAGGGATTTTATCAATCTCTTAAGAGTAATATGATATTCCAAATTTTAATTGCTGCAATATCCCAATGACCATAGGATGTTTGGCCTTCATAAGACTACTCTTGGAATATTGCATCCAGCTTTGGTCACCATATAAAAAAGATGTTGAGACTAGAAAGAGTGCAGAGAATATCAACAAAGATGATTACAGGACTGGAGGCTAAAAACATATGAAGAATGGTTACAGGAATTGGGTATCTTTAGTTAAATGAAAAAAAGGGCTAGGGCAGAGGTGGACTGCTGCCAGTTCAGATTGATTTGGGCAAACGGGTAATTGTGATCTGAGGGGGTACTATTCCGTCCTATATCGCCGTGTTTTTGAAGCCGCGCACATGCGCGGAAGGCCATGCACACTCACATTTTCAGTGCTGGGTGAACCGGTTGTTACAACCGGCAGCAGCCCACCACTGGGCTAAGGGTGACATGATAGTAGTGTTCCAATATCTCAGGGGTTGCCACAAAGAAGAGGGAGTCCAACTATTCTCTAAAGCACCTAAAGGCAGGACAAGAAGTAATGGATGGAAACTAATCAAGGAGAGAACCAACCTAGAACTCAGGAAAAATTTCTTGACAATTAGTGGAACAACTTGCCTCCAGAAGTTGTGGGTGCTCCTACACTGGAGGTTTTTAATAAGATATTGGACAACCATTTGTCTAAAATGGTATAGGGTTTCCTGCTTGAGCAGGAGGTTGGACTGGAAGACCATCAAGGTCACTTGCAACGCTGCTATTCTTTATTAAGATGGTGTCAATACTTAATGATCATAAAGATGGATCTTCTACAGGATGGCCTGTATCCTGCCGGGCTCTTCAGGTCATCCAGTATTGCATCCATCACCATTATAATCAAGTCTGCATCTGAATCTTCCCATCTAAGGAAAGGGTTTTGAAAAAAGTTCAGCACAAAGTGGCTTCCTTTATAGCCCCTGGCATCAGATGCCTCCAGGGACAGGTGTTGGATATTCATGCTTATCGTTCTAACTGCAGTTTATGAAGCGCTAAAAAATAAAGTTAACATGTGCTCAAGTCAGGAGCACAGAAGCAATGATCTAACAGTTGGGGTCTATTCTTGTCTTCTGGGAGAGGTTAACTCCTGTCTCCTGTGGAGAAAAAGAAACCCACACTTAAAATCTTATGTACATCTGCTGTAGCTTTTAGCAAGAAATACGGAAGCTTCTAAGCATGATCAAAATCAGTAAGTCAACGGTCTTGTGAAATCAGCTTGTTGACCAGGGCCAAGATTGCAGTTATTCTGGATCAATGTTTGAGATGTTAATATTTTACAAGCATAATTTTAATTATTATTTTCCACATTTGGTTTTTAGGAAACTTTATGCAGAGCTTTGTCAAGGTATCGTAGATGTAGCCATCTCTTGCATCTTTCCTCTGAATGATACCATTCAAAAACAGAACCAACCATCTGTATTTATAAAGTTGTCATAATTAAGGATAAAATGAACACATTGGAAAGCGTCCACCTGTTTGGATCCAGGGAAGACCAAGAAACACTGAACATTGCATCTGCACATCATGCCAAAAAGAAGAAGGGAAAAAGTGGCATAATTTTTTAATTTCAGAAGAGGAACATTTCAGAGGAAAGCCCCAGATGAACCAAAAAGCTCTCATCGACTCTAAATGTTTTAAAGCATTGTTTCAATAACAAATCCTGTTACCGAAGCCTATCTTTATGTTTGAGGACAACGTAATTTTTTTTTTAAATGTCAGCAAAATCCAGGGGTATGATCAAGTCTTGTCTTTATCTTTTTCCTTCTAATTTAATAAATTGTTTTAGCAAACACAAGTATCAGTGTCCTTGAGAGACTGAAAATTTTTCCACTAAGAGTTGTGGATTTTTTCTTTCTTTACTTGCTGCAGTTCTAGTGCCTTAGCTTTGTTCCTAACAACTCTCCTAATTTGTTTTGTTTGTACAATGTTGCTTTTAAACTAAAACAAAAAAGCTGCCCTGTTTTGCGTGGTATGAAGTTTCTTCAATATCTTTGCCTTTATATATATTTATTTGTGTGTTCATTTTTTTAAAAAAAATGTATGTTCTTTGCAAGAAACTAACTGTGGAAAACTGCAAAACTGTGTCCTTTTTTCTTCTGACAAGCTGGCACAATTACAAAATCCTATTATATTTTTGTGTTTTTTTAAAAAAAATCTCATCCCTTTGCTTGTCTTTCTACCTTATGGAAATGTTTCCAAGATCGTGAAATGGAAGCTTTTAAAGGACCTTGATCCTTTCCTTGTTCCACAAATATTGGTTGGATTCATACATTGCGATGACCATGATGTGTGAATTCACCCAGTAAGGCATCATAATGCATGGAACCCAGACCATTATTCTATAAACCATGCTTAAATTTGGGGTTAAGTAAACATAGTCATTTCTCAGTTCACTTGGCATAGCAAAACAATGGCTTGGTTGTTGAAGTCCACATTATTCCATCTCTGTCTATCATTTGTGTATTCGTATTCCCTTTCTAATTTGTCCAATCTGAGTAAACGGATGCTAATCACATCCAAAGTAACCGAGTCCAAATCATGACTGAAAATCCAGTTAAAACCATGTGCAGTAAGCAAAGTGATACTAGAGTAGATCATAGTTCGAGGGAAGGTCATTCCTGTCTCCCAAATAAGTGGCAGGGCAATTGTTTTATCCCAGTTCTGCATTTCTTGCCAGCATTAAGTAATCCCAAAATAATGCAGTTAGGTTCAGATATTGTAATATGCTACAGTTTGTTACCACATCACAATTGGTTGGTTTGCATAAGCTGAGCCAAATTAAACAAGCTACAGAATTGCTTAGCATATTTTAATTGAAAGCCACTTTGAATGTTTTGTCTTATTGGAAAAGTGGCATATAACACTGAATAAATTGTACCATGCATGAACCCAGTCAATATGCATTAGAAGTTAAGAAGTGAAGACTCTTCACTAAGAACCAGCGTTCTTCCTATTGCTCTTCTAGAGAAAGAGTACATAGGAGAATGGTTGGATCTAGGGAACTTGCTGTCAGTCCATAGGAAGAGAATGGAGTCTAGCCAGACATCACTCGTGTCTTCATTTCATTGGTCCTCTTCTAAAATTAGGGCTGACATGGATATGCAAACTTATAGTCAGTAAGAATGTATTCAATAAAGCAACATAACTGATTTTTTATAACCTATCATTGCAAAATATTCTTTCTCAATATTAAAATAGAACTTTCCCAGAGCTATTTCATGCCTGACCTCCATAAATTGGGCATTCTCTTATCATAATGAGAAGATAACTTCTCCTTATTACACTGACATAGTTTGTATATTTACAAAAGGCACTGAATCCACAGACCTTCCGATCCTAAAATTAACTATTTTATTTTAGTGTGTAATTTATTATATTAAAAAAAAATAACTGTCTCGTTGCAAGACTGCTAGTTTCTGTCTTAAGCAAAACATGTTACTTAGGCCAAGTGCAATGGGAAAAATCATACTAAAACATTTAAGGCAAGAATTCTCTTAATATTCAAAGAGGTAGGCAAAATAGTTCAGATTACATAACTATACTATCATGATTCCTTGGGAAAAATGAGGGTGTCACAAATATAGCAAATAGTGTACTGTAAACAAGTCTACTGTATAATCTGTTAGTGCCTTCAGAATGTTTAGCAGAAAAGGAGACACTAATTGCAAATGTATATCCTGAACTTATATGTACTTACTTATGAATAGGTTCAGTTATTTGAAACTACCTATGGGTACTTGGATCATAGCCTTATGCTGAAAATTCAGGAAGCCACAACACACTTTGCTAGTATTTCTTGTTAAGATAGTTAGACGTGTTATATAAATACATTGTCATTCTAGATACCACTGCATGTTGCATGCTATAATATTTTAGGTCAAAGCTGTAGGACAGCTTTACAATTTAGGAAGATGAGATGAAATTAGCCATTTGTCAGTGGACCTATGAGTATGATCTGGCAGATGTAAACCACCAGTTAAAAGTCTTGCTTCTATTGAAGTAAAAAAAAAAGGAAAACTGATTGAATAACTATTTGGAATTGTTGGAAGACAATTACAGTATTACTCCTAATTATTACATTCATAAGGTATCAATCTTATTGTATGCAGACTGACTCAGATTAGATGGGAATTACAACATTACTACTACTATTGTGTACATTCATAGAGTATAAATTGTGTTGTTCTTGTATTGATTAACACAGGCTTATGCTTAAAATTTGCAGTCACATTCCCAAGAAGGCAGAAAAAATTCAGCTAAACCCATTAGGATTTAAAACCAAGGAGAGATGTTGAATCAGAATGGCAATCAGATTAATTATAATACTGTAGAGTGGAGAAAAGGTTTACACACAAGAGAATATGGTCTTGGATAGAATTCATGGAGGGCCACACGTTAGACAGATAGAGGCAAGGAATTGACAGTGTGGACTTCAACTCCAAGAATTCCTCTTGAATAACAGGCTTTTGATTGACTAGCTTGCAAGTATGTACTCTGGATATAATGAAATAATGTTGGCTTAATAAAAATTATGTGGAGTGCTTGCAAATATACAGTATTCCCTAAGGGATGGGAATATTCATGATTTTTGCTTAAGTCACAGTTTTTTTTTCAGCTGAGGATGTTTGCTTTGCCATGTTTATTTGACATTGAAAGAATTAAGAGAAAGGAGTATAAGGTATGTTTGCCACCTTGAATTATTTCCTAAATTAATAAAACTGGGATAAAAAATTAGCTATTGTAATGCCCTAAGTTTTATTGCAATGTCCTTAATTTACTAGGTAAACTTAGTTTGAGAACTGATATCCTGAGGAATATCCTTTCAGCTGTTCAGTTCTTGTTTGCAATTACTAACTCTATTGGCATCCAGGTGTACTTAGGATATGCCTTGTTTTACATAGGAGATGCTGAAATGTTAGTGTTCATTCTTCTTAAAAAATAACATACTTTTCTGTTTATTGTAACCACACTGCCATATCTTTTTGTCCATTAATTATAATTTTCCCCTTAATTTTATAGTGTTACTTCAATGGCAAAGGAGGCAGGATGTAACTGTCAGTAAAATTATGTTTTTTTTTAAATTATGTATTATTTGCATTCAGTCCTTGTATAGGCAAAAAAAATGCAGTACAATGTTATTTTCCTTTATATACATGTATAAATTAAGGCAGCAAGCAAAAATTGAAGCTATACAGGATAACTTTGTGAAATAATTCAGAGATGCAAAATTTACTTTTAACTTTTGGACTCAATGTTTAATACTGTAATTATTTGGGAAAGCCTTATATAGGAATATTAAAATAGCACATCTGATTATTTAAAACAAAATCTCTTAAAAGGGCTGTATTCCACCTTAAGCAATTGTCTGTATGGCCTTTTCTGATATTGGGTATATATTTTACACTGTATCTGATTTGTGTCTTTCATAATGTGATGGAATCATGCATGCTAGTATTATTAGGCAGTGAAAATCCTTTGGTCAGTAGATTTATTCCAACAGAATTAGGGAACTGGGGATCTACAATCCTTCAAAGCAGTTAAGTAGTAAAAGCACTAAACTATAAATACTCGTATACTCAGAACATTTGTTCCATAAAGTGAAGTTTTGTATACTAGATATTGGCAAAAATATAATCTTAAATAGAAAAGTTTGTTCAAGAATTAATAAATGAATGAACCTGATTTGTTTCTATAGCAAACATTTAAAAATGAAGTTGTGTGTTATATCCAAATGTTTATGTACAATATCCAGATATTTTGGTAATGTTTTGACGATGATGGGGACAGGAATTCTGGATACAGCAGTTGAGGAAGACTGCTAGAAGAACATGTACAACTGCCAATTAAATAAATAAAAACATAAATACATAAGCCCAATCATTTCATGAATAAAGCACTAGTGGTAAGCTGATATATCTGTGCCTTTCAAGTTAATACCAGTTATTTCTGTCTTTTAAATACAGCTGCACTGCAAAGTTTGTTAATGTTATTTTATTTAATTATATGGAGCTCCCCTCCCTGAAGATATGATACTACATTATCATGAAGCACCAGTGTTTTGCAGAGGATTTGATAACAGATATTAAAAGAATAAAACATGTCATTTCAGTTCTTTTGGAGATGTTTCAAGGTCAAAACTCTCACCAAATACTTGAAACAAATATTTCAGATTTGTATTAAAAAAAAAGCTTTGCACACTGAAATGATTCAGCACTTCGAACATGCACAATTCTTTTAAGCAATTAATTGCATACCAATGTATTTTGCTGATGGAGTAAGGGGCACAATGTGACACAAGCATCATTTATACAGTGAATTTTTCTCTCTTGTTCTACTCCACTCTGGTGGGGCTATCCAAATCTGCTCTTCGGATTCCCTCAACCCTATAGAAGAAATTGGAAGGAGTGGGCAAGAGGCATTTGGGAATTTGCATGGAAGGGAGGACCAGTAGATAAAAGCAAAAGAAAATATCCCCCCAAATAGGATGGTGACACTGAAAAAGAATAATCTTTAAAATTACAATGATTTTTGAAATAGTAAAAAGATATGGCACCAAACTACAATTCTTTGAATGCCTATGTAGAATAGTCTCTTTCTTCAAAAATAAGCATCCATAAGAGTGAACTGTTATTCATAGGTTGACATCAGATTTCTTTCCATTAATTACCTACTGGTTTTGCTTTGTTTAACAATTTATGCGGGGTCCTCCAACTAATGTCTGCAGATGGAATAGACTTGGAAAGAAAATGGTCATGGATTAATAGCAATAAGCACTTAGACTTATATACTGCCTCACAGTGCTTTTACAGAACTCTCTAAGTGATTTACAGAGTCACCATATTGCTCCTAACAATCTGGGTCCCCATAATAATAGACTATTATAAAATTAAAGATAGTTTTAATTAATTTTGGTAACTAAGTAATTTTGTCAGCATTCCTTCTTAATTGTGATTAAGCCTTCAACAAATATAGTAGGCAGAAATTCTATTGGTGTAGTTTTCCAGGCTAGAAGACAAAGAATTCTAATCCTGCCTTAGGCACAAAGCCACCTGCCTGACCTTGGGCTGGTCACACTCTCCCAGTCCCAGGAAGCAAGCAATAGCAAACCACTTTAAATTGGGTTTTAAAATTCTGGGGTTTTAAAATTCAGCCGAATTTATTTAATAATTTTAAACTATTTTAACTGATGTTGTTTTGTGTTTTTAATAGGCTGTACACCGCCCTGAGTCCTTTGGAAGAAGGGCGGTATAGAAATAAAATTATTATTATTATTATTATTATTATTACTCCCCAAATCTTGGCAAAAAAACTGCAGAGATAAGTCCAGGCAGCTGCCAGGAGCCAAGGCACACACATATGCGCACACAGTGCACACCAAAGTTCTCCCCTATTGTAGATCACCTACTGGATTTCTAATTTTTTTCAAGAACATGCATATCCTGTCTTTCATCTAGGAACTTAAGGTAGCATGTGCATCATCCCTTTCTCCCTGTCAGAACTAAGAGTGTATCGCTGGCCTCAGCATTTGTGGTTCAGGGCAGATTTGAATCAAGGTCTACCTGATCTTACTGCACTACAGTGTTACTGAGATGAAGGTATAGTTCCTTTTTGATGAAACAAATGGCAAATATTTAAAATAATAATCTCTCCTAGAATGTGACAAACAACAAATCCTTTCTTCCTTTGGATTTTCTCTGTGTGTGTGTGTGTGTATGTGTGTGTGTTGAATTATTTTAACTAACTAGAGACGATATTAGGCTCAGTTCTACCACAACTACTCTAGCTTTATTCTTAGAGTATAAGGTAAAAGAGAACCATTGCATGTGCCTGACATGCAATATGCTGTAAAATTAAGAATATTAAATGAATATAAATATGAATGTAGTCATTCAAAGGTTAGGTTTTCTATTGGTGATGGAGACATAATGAAACTTTACTGTAACCATAAGATACTGTTTTATTTGTAGGAAAGGTGGTTAGTTTACAACAGCTGTGCCAACAAGAGTAAAATATATTGTGACTACAATTTTAGAGGATGGCATACAGACAATTACTAACACGTTCATGCTGTTTCTGCCTCCACACCAAATTAACTCTGGGATCAGGCCTCCGCATTGTTTGAAAAACTTCAGAACTGAACACTCTCTAGTTACATCATATTAATTTTTTTTTGTTTATCTTCTGAAACTTATAGTGTGGTTGTATATATTTGTGTCTGATGGAATATACTGTATGACTGTAAGCAATGCATGTATTGCTGATATTTGTACTCAAACCTCTCTTAAATGAATTAAAATATAAAATCTGACTTTATTTGTGGACCATATATGGATGCATGCCTCAATTAATAAAGATGCTTTAAAATATATTAAAAACATGGGTACATACATTTAAATGACATACCGGTAATTGCCTTTTAAGTGCATTCTCTAATCCTCCTAAAATTACCGTAGCTTTGTTTTATTATTGTATTACCTTTTTAAATAGATGTGGCAATACCACAAACTGCATAGTAAAAATGTGATATTTAATTTACCTTCCTCTGATCCTGCAGAATCTGTATTAGGTTGACAACTGATATTCTCAAACTAAACAGTCACGTGCTAAATAACAGATTCTGCTTGGCTTTCACATAAAGTCTGAACACTAATACAATTTAAATTGACTCCTTCCATCCTTCCTCTTGGCTATACTTCATCCATATATTACTGTACTTACCCTGTTCTTAACTGAAATGCAGCATATTTTTCTGCCTTTTCATTACATACGAATCTATGAAACAAAATTTTATAGAATGATTTTATTTTGCCTTTAGTTTTATAATTCATAGGGATTTTTTGCTTATTTATGTGGCAAGTTTAAAAAATTACTCTAGTATTCAACAAAATAGCCATTAGATAATACTAGGGACTTTATTTATTTATGAATAACAAATAATCATAGAATCAGGCTGCTTTATAAATATTTATATGAGATTTATAAGGCCACCCAACTCCATGGCAACCCTGGGTGGTTTACAACAATAAAAACATACAAAACCTATATAACAAAGGAGAAAAATGCCTGTCTATAAAAGAAAAGCAACCATCTCAACATACATAATCCAGTAGGAGACTTATTACCCATTCTATCCCCAAGATATGGGAAGGGGGAAGCTCAGCCATATTTTAAATACTTTTTAAATGATTCTATTATTAAAGGCTATAAAAAAAAATCTGAAAAGCCTGATATTCTCACTCCCTCTTATTTCAAAAAGAATCAATTTGCACAATCTTGCATTTCTGTCTCTTTTCTTCCTCCATTTCAGAGCTCCGCTAGTGTTTAGATAAAGGCTTTTTCATGGCTATCTCTATACTGCTTTACACCTACTCTGAAGTGACAGATTACAGATATAGGGCTTTATGTAGATGTAAAACAAAAGGGGCAAGAGCAGAAGCCCACACGGGGACATCAAGCTAAATCTCATCCCAGTGCCACCATTGACTGGAAAAGCTCAGAGAAAGAAGAAACACTGGAGAGTGCCCCCATCCTCAAGTCTACTTCTTGGTGATTAAGAAAGATAGTACACCACTGAGAGATCAAGAAAAACCAGGATGGTTGTATTACTTTCATTCTGGGACCCTCAGAAATCATGAACAAGCACAAACCATGCTCCATAATATGCCTCAATTTGAGACCTAACTAAGAATTACTAGGAATCAGACATAATTTATTGTACATTTAATGAAGTATTATTATTAATTGAAAGAAGTCTAGAGAATGCTAGAATCATAAGTTTGGAAAACTGATGAAAACAGCCGAGAACTGTTGAATTTTCAAAGATTTCTTGAGGAAGAAATGTACTATATAGACTCCTTCAAGACATCCCCTCCCTAAGGGGGTTGACACAATGCATTAATTCAGCTACACATCATTTCCAATGCAGCCTTCACCCACTACGAGGGCTGGAACCCCGTAAACAGATGGCTGGATTCAGAGTGCCAGGTTCTTATACTCTGTTTTATAGCTTTTAACATGTAAATCACAGCACTAGATAAATTATAGCTTTGTATCTGGACTGTTTGGTGTTCTCTGTTATTTTGTGAGTTTTGTGTTTGTATTTTTTCTTTCCTACATTTATACCCATCGTACTGTTCCCTTTCAGGATAAGAAACATTATGTAGAGCACAGAAAAGGAGTAAGACATAGAAAGACAAAAAAAATTGAATATGAGGCAAAAAAAGAAAAAGAAAATATAACTACAACCATCACTATCCAAAGCCTTTCCATCGTAACAGCTCTACTAGTTTTCTTTGCCATATCCCATTTAATTATTTTATTCTATATCTGACTACAAGGTGTTCTATGACTTTTGGAATATATGTTTTTCCCACTGTATTTGTTTTTCTTAATAAAATATTGAACCAGTTTTTATTTTCCCCTGAAGACAAACTCTCTGTAGTGGTAAAAGCCCCCTTTTTGTGCTACCTAGAAACTCTCCAGCTATGCTATTAAAACAGAAGCACCATTTTCTGCTACTCAAACCAGGAAACACAGAGAAGCAGTCAGGTTGGCTTAAAATATGCATCTGTTAAAAAAACAGAATAAAACCTCTAGCCCGTCCCATCATATCATGCCATCACAAATTAGAATAGAATAGAATTTTTTATTGGCCAAGTGTAATTGGACGCACAAGGAATTTGTCTCAGTGTACATAAAAGAAAAAAGAAAAGTATTAACCTCCAGCTGTCAGAAAAGTGTCCTTCGTTATATTACTAATTCACGTCGTAATTTAACATACTACTGTATACGGGAGTCCCCTCCAACTCTATTATTCGAAAAGTTGTGCCAATGCAAATTAAGTATGAAGATTTGACTGCTGATTTTCCCACCACCGTGCTAAATTGTATTTTCTGCACCATAGAAGCTGAT